AAGGAAATGACGGTCTGTCCGTTTTGGCTATAGACTAGAACAACTGCCACTACTACTACTACGACTGGTAATACGCCAGCAGAATAGCTGTCTGACAACATTCTTGCGCGCCAATGAATGAGCTTGTCAATTGCGTTGCACAGTGCTATGCTGCTGGTGATTGCAAGTTAAGTTTGTTAATTCGAAAATTAAGCTATTCATCTGTACAGTTAAGCATTCAGTTACTGATTGTCCGTTTATGCTTAACACCGATCCGAACGTTATGGTACAGTTCTAGCAAAGCTTGGTAAGCTCTGCAGATAGCAGCTTGTTGCATGTACCAATGTTATGATTTTCCTACCGTCAGTCTTCCTGCATAAATTTTTTTTACTCTTTCATCTTCTTTTTCAATCTCCCTCTTAGCAAGCTACAATCACTTAAGCGGATTTGTAAAAGTTGGCATTAATTTCCGTTTGGTACGGCATTCAATGCTTTCGGCTCGCCGCATGCCGCATGCCGCATGCCGCACTCCAATCTATGTACATACTATATGTCGCTCACAGACAGGCCGGAAACTTCAATGCACGAACCATGAAGACATATAACCAATTCCAAGAAAACTGCATAGTTTGATGAGTATATCCATTTGTTAGCGTGAGTGATGTTCGATGGGTTATGCTGGCGGGTGGTTTTCGGTAGCTACTACCAGTAAACAAAAAGGAGTCACAGCAAGCAAAGAAAATTGTATGCTAGCGAGTAATTGGTGAGCAAAAGCATCTCTTTATACAGTGCAATTTTAATTTTGAAATTGAAAACAGTACTATTCTGTGTTTTCTATTGCATTCGATTTCGTATGTATGTTAGTTATTGCTTACTGATTTGTAGACCAACAAAAGCAATTTAGTTATAGGTTAGAGTTCAGGTATTCTTTTCAAAAATCAATTTACCCAAAGTTGTTTAGTTTTAATCATAGGAAGCTTGAACGCGTACACAAAAAGTTTGCAGTTCATTGAGTAAGCCACAGGTCAATGAACAAGGTATATAAAGTTTTTCAAGGTCAAGTTCTTGTATGACAAACTTTTCCATTTGACGAGATATCTTCACCAAATTTGGTATGGACTATTTTCGAAGAGAATGTACCAATTTCCAAAAAAATTATTTAAATCGGACGGCTAAAGCATATAGCTGCCATACAAACTGACTGAATTTTTTGTATGGAATCTTTTGTATTTGTGAAGGCTATTATAGCTTCGCTGCAGCCGAAGTTAATGTTTTTTTTGCATTTGCGTTGAACCAAGCCAAAGATCTCTAAAAACTACACAAGTATGAGCAGTTTTACTGTATTAACATTTTGATTACGGCGTGTTCGTGGCGAATAGACTGGATGTATTAAAAAACGTTCGCGTCTATTAAACTTGACGCGGACGCGTGCATCTAAACTGCGCGCGCAAACCGAACCGATTGTATTTTCTTTGTATTTTTTCGCTTCGCTTTAACTTAGCTGTTTTTTACTCTTAACCTCAAATTTAATAGCAATTATTTTACGCCCATTGGGTATTTAACTAATCGCTGCGTACACACTTCAAGAAACGAATAATTTGCAATGCGGCAAAAATATTTACGTAATTCGACAGCTGTAGAAAGTCTATTGAATGGCGAACTTGCAACACAGTCCGTAAAGACCATACCATTTGAAAATCCTTACAATTCATTGCATTACACTCGCCTGAAGGGCAACTGGTTGGGGGCTAACAGTCCAGATAGTTTACAAAAGTGTTGGCACAGTTGGCGAGTGGCAAGTAAGCATGAATACAAGCAGCATAAGTGGCAAGTGGCAGGCATGTGGCAGGTGTGTTCTATGTAAGCGTTCGCCTAGTAACTGGCCAAATTACACCTGTCCAATGTGTAGCACTGCATTACTAATTGACATGTCTGCGTACAAAGAGCCATATAGATATATATGGTACACACATATATATATATATATAGGTATATACCTATATATACATATTTATCTACTGAAGGCTGAACAATTGGTTAATAGAAAACTTGTCATATCATTTTCTTTAGAGGCGCGAGTAGTGAGGTTGGGTAGTAGAGAGAGTGAGAGGGAGAGTAAGAGAAAAGTGCGAAGCAAGTGAATTATGACCTTTTGTGAGTTTGTGCTGTGATTTTAAAATATTTATAGACATTATCGAGGTGCACAAATACTTGTAGAATACCAGCTATAATTGCCCTCCCATCGAGCTCATAGATTAATTATTAAGTTGGGGCGAAAGTGTAGGTAAATCAATGAGCAAGAAAGGTTCGGTTTCGTAGATATGAGTATGAAAAGTGGCATTGTCCGTCGCCGGTGCGTGTGTGTATTGTGTGTATGATTTCACTTAAGTACACAGCAGGTGCTTAAGTGCATACAGAAGTGCTGCAGCCGAATTTTCTTTTCAATTTAACTCAATCGCTGGCGTGTAATTGGATTTAAACTTTGAACTGCATATTTACAAAGCTGCTTACATGCTTAAGTGCATGTGCACTGCTGTTGGCAATGAATGTAAATTAATGCTACGAGCGTGGTTCGATAAGACGGTTATACCAGTGAAGAAGCCTTTGCAAATGGTAAAAAGTGAAAGAAATTCATAGCAGATTGAAACACTTTAAAAACGAAAGCTAAAATAACAGAAAATATAAGAATAATAATTTACGGGCGATCTGGGGTCCAGAAGAGAAGGGAAAGAGCGTAATAAAATTTTTAAGGGTTAAACATGGTTTATCTCGCTTTCTGAAAAAACTATGAGTTCAATAGAAAAAATCATAAGGCAAAGTTGTAGGTAATAAAAATATCTACAACTTTTGTATAGAGTGATCCATTACGAGATTTCCTACTTTTTGAGGAAAAGACTACAGAAAATTCCAATTTAATGGTGAATTTTTATTATCATTCAAAAGTACATTTTTCGGCATTTATTTTTTGAAGATTGTCTATTTCAAATGTTGGCCGCGGCTACGTCTCAGATGATCCATCCATTGAGTCCAATTTTCGATGACTTGTTCGGGCATTTCGACTGGTAACTGGCGAATGACACGTGTATTGTTTTGCTCCAAGGCCTGAATGGAAGCGAGATTGTCTGCACAGACTTTAGACTTTGCATATTTCCACAGGAAAAAATCTAACGGCGATATCACACGATCTTGGTAACCAATCAACTCGCCTAAAATGTGAAATTATCAATTTCAGGCATCAAATAACCTTATATCACATTATAATCGAAAGAAAACGCTAACTTTTAATCAAAAATTCTCACGTTAAGATATTACATTTTTTTAAAAAGTTGGTAGACTTTATGTTAGTGGAAGTGGTGAGTTTTTTCAAAAGATACAAAAATATACAACGGTCAATAGACATCTAGGAGATTTGCTTATGATGATCTGTTCTCCTTCTCAAGAAGAGGTATGAACAAGTACTTTAGAAAATCTTTAATTTCTTAGGTCAAGCTTTTGAAATAACATTGACGGTCCTAGATTAGGTAGGGTTAGATCGTAGAGTTGATCCAAAATCGATGGATTTCACTTGAACAGATAACTTACGATCCTAGACGTAAGCTTTTACCTCATAGTAAAGGTTAGGTTAGGTTAGATTGCCGATTACTCAGAGTAGCATGGGATCACACATAGACTGTTATGTACAGTCCATTGTGAGGCCAGCCGAAAAACTCCTGTAGTTGAATATCAGTTATCAGCAAAGTGCCTTGAACCTATCACAAACTTAGGTGCTTTATATCTATTTTTGCTATTTTATCTGGATGTCTAAAAGTATGTTATTCGAGGTGGTTTTGCCATGATTTGACAAAAACGGAACATTCGACAAGGATGTGTTGAGATGATTCTATCTCATCTTCTTCCAAACAGCTGATGCAGCTGGCATTCAGTAAGATGTTCAATCTTATCACATGAATCCCGATCGGACAGTGTGCAGTTAGTTACTCTGACAACCATTGAAAGTTGGACCTTACTGAGAACGAAGAGTTTCCTAGACGTCTTTTAATTTACCATGGTCCAGAAGGATCTTGCGACTGCACAGCTGCTGATAGTTGAACAACACTTGCTGGGCTGGTCTGGAGCACAGCAGTCCAGTAGTGAACCACAAGAAGCCAACTGAGCTCATATCCGTTCTCATTCCGCATTTATTGAGAATGAAGTACATGTCGTAGCAAGCTCATCAGCCTTACAGTTTCCTTAGTAGTTAGTAATATTTTGTCATGTCAGCTCATATTTAATATTTTAAATACGACTTCGTCTTTTAGTGTCACATCGACCTTGTCTGATTGGTTGAAAGTACACGTCCACGCTTTTAGTCCAACAATTTCAGTCAGATTGACAACTGTTAACTGCTCATTATTAACAGTTATAGGGTTGTAGAGACTTGAAGATAATTTAAAATGTCATATCACGCCGTCGTATGAACTTTATTCAATTGAGAGTATTATTTGATATTTACATAGTTTTGCTACTTTTATGCATAGTAAACGCAACTGTTTCAACAGCCCAATCACTTGAAAGTCTTGAAATACCGTAATTTTAGTTTGACTTATTTAAAAGGGATTTTATTATATTTACCGACACACTTGAGCATTTAACATTGGTCGCAACACTAATGACTCAGTTGTTCATTTTACTGGTGTACGCTCAATTGCTCATTTCGCTGGCTCATCACGCTCTCTACTCCTCTACATGATTGTGTTATAATTAAGCGTATAAGTAATGAAAGTTTAGTTAAGCTGCTAAGTAACAAGTGTGTAATTAAAAGTTGAATTTATTTGCTATTATGTGTTTGTCGATCGGAAGGGCAAGTGAGTTGTGAGTGTTGAATGCTGGGAAAAGCAATAAATTAAAAGAGGATAAAATATTATACTCATTTAGCATGAGTTGATTTGTGCTTTCTCCATTTTCATGGTTTTTCCTGTTTATGTCCGAACTATAAATTTTATATAAATAATTATACTAATATCTTTTTCTCTCTCTTCCAGTTATGGGCTCTTGGGCGCCTCAGGTTGCGGTAAGACAACCCTACTTTCTTGCATCGTAGGCAGGCGTCGCCTGAATTCCGGCGAAATATGGGTGCTTGGTGGACGTCCAGGTTCCAGAGGTTCGGGGGTGCCCGGTCCACGTATTGGTTATATGCCTCAGGTATGTTTACAGCCATCTATTTGAATTCTTTAAACACCAAAGGGCAGTATATAGAGTATACACTTAAAAGTTGAGTTCCGAATTGGACTTCGTAAGAAAAAATCATTAGTCACAGTTCTTAATAGCATTTAGTGTTGGTCGCTCTCCTGCCTCGTTGTTTGGTTTGAATGTGAAACGTTGTCGCTTTCATGTGCTTTCTGTATCTATAGTTTATCTCAAACAGTCCGCCTTACCGTTTTATCGGATTAGACTCTTTTTAAGTCTTTGTTGTTTGTAAATACGAGGTGTGCTCAAAGGAAAAGGTGATTTTTTTTTTTTGCGGGCTGTTTATATTCGATTATCGATATTTTGTTATTGTTATAATCGGACACATATGTTTAGCATGTGCTTGCATTAGGAGCCAATATTGATTTTCAAAGAAATGTGTAAATAAAGTGCTCCGAGCCACTTGAAATGTTAGCTGTGGCATTTGCTGAGTCCATTTTTTCTCAAAAACTTGTTTATAAGTGGTACAAGCGCTTTAAAGAAGGCCGAGAAAAAATTTATGGCAAGAAGCATATTGCAGGTGCGACTACGTCAACCAGCGAAAAAAATATCGAAACAGTGACAAAAATTGTTCTTGAAAATCGTCGAATCTCTATTAGGAAAGTTGCAGAGGATGTTGCATACCAATCGGCACATGCCATTCAATATTATCGAAAGCTTTGGGCATAAAAAGTGTGACAGCGAAGTTTGTTCCGAAATTGATAAATTTTGAGCAAAAGAAATGTCGCATTAGTATCGCTCAGGAATTTTTGAATGACGACAACAATGATCTTCACCGTACTCATCAGATTTGACTCCCTGCGACTTTTTCCCATATGAAAGGAAATTAACCAATAAAAGGAAAGCGTTTTGCCACAAGTGAGGCGATCAAGTCAGAATCGAAGAAAGAGCTATACCGAAAAACGCATTCCAGAAGTGCTTCGATGATTGGAAAAAGCGTTGACACAAGTGTATTATATCCGAGAGGGAATACTTTGAAGGGCACAAAATAGATATTGATGAATAACACAAAATAGATACTGATGAAATTCAAAAAAATTGAAAATTCACCTTTTCGTTTGAACACACCTCTTATTGAGTTTATCAATTTTATGGTAAAGCCTTTTGACAATCTACATTTTATCATCTTTCCATTCAGAGAGCGGCTAGTCAGTGGCTCTCTGTAGGGAAACAAAAACTCGCCGGTCGATCAATATGCATATTAATATGCGTTCACTGAGATGAACCAATCTAAGAAACGGGTAGATAAACTAACATAGAGTAATCGTTAGAATATATAGTCAGCAATTGGTAGATGGATAATCGCAGTTTTTTGGGAAACCATCTCCTTCGATATCATAGAAAAGTGTCGAAATTACCTACGATTAATTACGATAGTGTGGCATTGTGTTGGCTCACTTCAAAGCTTAGGTATTTATTGGATGGAAACTTGAAAGCACTAGTAGCTTCTTTTGAACAGTTGAACTTTGACTCAGCTTAACATTGACTGGAAAAACTGCGAGACCTTTTTGTCTATGGCTCCAAATGAGCTTCAAAAAACTAAGCATTTCTCTGAGTTAAACGTATACAAAGCGTAAGGTTTCGTAAATTGTACCCAGCAATAGTCATAACGAAACCATACAATACCATCCCATATGTCTGTGCATACAAACGCACGTTCATATATACAGCACATCTGCTATTGGAGCAGACAAACCCTCAGTGCACAATTGGTATAAAAAAAAAAGAATCTGTTAGAGAATAAGTGTTTAGATTATGAAAAGCTTTTCATCTTCCATTTGTAGTGAAGCAGTGTGCCAACAAATACAAAAAAAAAAAGTTATATATGTTTGTATACACACACACTCACGTTGTAGCCACATAGAATGAATGACTGCGTGTGCGGAGCGCCACATGAAAAAAATAACAACAACAACAAAGTAATAGAAATACTGCGCAACAGTTTTGAACGCTTCGCAAAGCTACCGCATAAGCTACTTTTGTAGCACTTAAATAAAAACAACTGAATCTAGTATATTATTTTGTAACTGTATTTTTAGAAGTTTTCGAGCTCGAGCTTGCAATTGGTGCATGGTGCGATATTAAGCTTTTCCTGTTCTCATCCTCCTCTTTATCCTATTCCGATAGCGCCAAAAATAATGTGTTAAGATTTATTAGCTCTAAGTTGACTCAAAATCGGTTGAATCTTTTTTCACAGGAATAAAAACGTTTTTTATGTGACCGCTGGTATAAATGCAGTTATACTCTAAAGTATAAGAAAACCGTATTTAAGGAGTACCAAATAACTTCAAGTCCACTAGATTAATATCGCTCGTGTAAATACAAAGATTTTACTTTTTAAATTTTTTTCTTTTTTTTTTGATATCAGTTAAGAGAGCGTCACTTTCGATAAATAGGCAGAGTACAATGTTTTAATTCTTGGACGTAAATGATTGTTCCAAAGCTAGCGAAGGGTAACAGCACTTTATGTTATTATGAAACATGTTTTAAGAAAAACCTTGCTTTAAGTATAGAGCTAAAGATTTTCGTTATTTTTTGAAAGAACTATCGAGCAAACCATTTTATTAGTATTTTTTGAACATTTACGAATTGTTATCGAAAATACTCGAACTATCAGCTATAGAGTCTATAATTGTGTGATGCAGCTTGGGATGCTTTTAAAGGTCACATGTTTTCGATAAAAAAAGGTCATAGTAATTTTTACCTTCCATCTTATACCGATTTTTGTACATGTTGAACAGATCGTCCACTGAGTTATTAAATGAGGCTAATGTTCTGCGAGTATCAACAATTTTCTGTAAAATTTTTGTACGTCATCGTGCAGCATTTTTATAAATGGCGGAGTCTAGAGTGGAAAATACTTGTATTACTCTAACTCCACTACGAGTACCGGAAAACGTAAACTTTTTTGGCTTATTTGTCTATCAAGTTCTATTGAGATTAGATGATTTTCGTGAACAGTTCTCCTTTTCCAAGTTTGGAGAGGTCGGTGCTCAGATTTAACAGCGATGATCTGAGGGAGTTGGAGTGATCTTTACCATTAGTTTCCACCAAAGTGTTCTGCTGTTTGTGGAGGTTTCTTTGTTGACAAATGAGAGAAATCTACGCGATTCGAGTAGACTTGGAACGGTTAACGATTTTATAAATATTTTTTTGGATATATCTATAATTGAGCTGAAGGTGTTGCAAAGTGATAGAAGGTTCTATACAGATTTGACCATAAGAATTAGATCACTAAATTTTTGGGATATAGGACGCAACCATATGAGCTATAAAACACACATTTGCTCGGTGTCAAAGGTCTTTCATCCGTATATGCATATATTAGGTTCGAATAGTAAGTAGCTTCCAATCATGTAATTCCGCCATCTGATATATTTCTTTCTATGCCCTGCTTCTGTTTTTTTTTTTTTTTGTTTATGCTACAGCTTACAGCTTTTAAGTCTAGCCGAAGCAGCGCTGTCTTATCGCTTCCTAAAAACTGCAAGCGCAGCTTAAAGCTCATGGAATGTCATTTTAATGCCTTTATCTATATCGAAACTGTGGAAGGCGTTATTACGGTTGTTGATAATGGTTGCCAGTAGATATATATGTATATGTATTCATATAAATTTAACTGTAAAAGGATTTTTATACTCTTAACGCACTCTCTTCACACACTTAACTCTCAACTCATGCACTTAACGCAGAGTTGTATTGGCCGCAGATACAGTTGGCATTAAATACTTTATATTATATTACCGCTGTGTTGCTGCATGCCACACACGCTTGCGAGCATTCACAACAAAGTTTGCAGCACGTTCAACCGGCCGGGGAAGTTGGCTGCGAATGCATTCGACAACAAGCAAGTCGAAGAAAAGAGCTAAAGTAAAAAGATAAAGAAAATGAAAACTAAAGAATTTAATGCCAGCAAATGGCGGTGGGAGAACGTGTTGCGTGAAAAAAATTAAGTGACGGAAAAATATGCACACATACGCGCACACACATATGTAAATGTGGCAACACAGACAAAGTTGTTGCGAAAAAAAGGGAATCCTTCCAACTGGTTAAACAGCCAACATGGCGTACGAGCGCGCCTTGCACGCCCTTTCTTTTCCTCGCTGAGCGTGCGTACATACTTTACGATTTGCTTCGCTCGCCAGTGCGGCATGTCCATTGTGACGCGTCTACATGAATACAGTGCGGGATTATGGGCGGATTTGTGAGCGACAACTCAAGGATGAAGCAAGACAAGAAAAAAGACAACAACAACAAGAACAAAAAGCAAAGCGCGTTCATGAAAGCATAAGCGTATGTATGAATGAATGTTTGCGCACTTGCCAACTTGCCGCAATAACCACCAATGCCATGCCCGACGCCTCGAGCGCGGTTACACGCACGCACGCGCCCACCCACACACACATACACAAGCACATAGCAGCTCCCATAGCGCCGCACGTTTCGCTTGTAGTTACCATTGATGTACACTTATTCACAGCTTTTTGGTCATAAATCTACCAAATTCAACGCCTTCGTCACCATCTTCTACACATGCCGCGTAACTGCATCTTTAACTTTGGTGGCGAAATATGCGAACGCGCGACACAAAATGCTGCAGCGCTACGCGTCTCATTCATAGAATCTTGCTGAGCGCGCTTTTATTGTTTTTTCTTTTGCTCTTGTTGTGCTTGTTGTTGTCGTTGTTATTGAGCAAGTTGCTATTTTTCTTCTGCTTGAACATTTATAAGCGCGTATGTGTGTGTGTGTTTCGGTGTCGCCGATTGCTGCCATAATAACAGAATTCCCACAGGCCATGTCAGACAACAAGCGTAGCTCTTGAGCTGAGCTCCTCAGCTGTTTAAATGCGCGCAGATACCATTGAATTGCTATATTGATGGCGTTGGCGAAGAAAAGGCGTTCGCTTGCGTTTATATGAGTATATGTATGTGTGTGTCTATTGGGTGCACACCGCAAATAGCTTATGAACGACATTTTGAAGATCGGATTAAGTGTTTTGCGCTTTGTGTATTGCTTATATTCTTGCACTGGTGTGCTACTTTGTTGTTGTTATTGCAGCCTTGTTCAATGAAAAATTATTTATTTTCAGCTATTGGTATATTTAAAAGTTTCAGCTATCTACTTTAACGGAAAAACACTTTTATTTAACTGTGGGGCAAGTGGGCGTAAATTCAAAAGACATTTTTTTGGAAAGTTTAACTGCGTTAAGGCATTATGATTAATATTTCATACAATTTTTTAAATCGAAAATAAACAAAATTCTAACGACAGCATGAAGCGCTTTTCTCTATGAGCTTTAAAGTTCGAAATCTACAACAAACTGACGTTTAACAAGCCTCCAACGGCTTGATTGTTTTTATAATTTTTTTTGCGCGTTGATAGTAAAGTCGCCGAATCACTTTCGACTAAGTCCACCCTAGCGCATATACGACTTCTTATATCGATAGAAAACATCAATTCGATGCAACAAGTAAAATCAAAGCCTTCCCCAGTCGATTGTTCTTAACCTGATGAGGTCTAATTATCGCACTTATTCTCTCGCTCTATATCCGTCCTGCTTCTTAATTCGTTGTCTCTAACACTCGCTCCAACTCCAACTGATTCTGTACCGATGGGCTTATGTGAAGTGAAGGCAGAAATATGAAAACTTAACGTTCCAACCGCCACGCCAATAGTAAAACTGAAAACTTAACGTATATCTCTTACCCTTTTCATTTATCAAACAAGAAACAGTGCTTTAGAGGGAGAAAAAAAGAGATTCAAATGCTGTTGATATAGATCTCCACGAATTCCGAGGATCAGGGTCGATAATTACCTTACCTAAAAGATCAATTCCAAAATGTCTTTGGTCTCAGTTCGTGGCTACCAGCATGTAAAAGTTATATAAATAACCAAAAACCCAGCACATTTGACATACATAGGTCGGTGGCACAAAGGGCAGTTTAATGGGTTTGGACATTTTTTTAAAAAACCGACCAAAACGAGTGCTGTGTGATGAGTGCATCTAAATGGTGCCTCATATTTTTGATTCAATACACCTAATTGATGGCAATGCATGACAGAGTTATCTAACAAAACCAACATGGTCAATAGTTAGGGGGGTTGACAAGTTTTGGCACAAGACTCAGGTCTTCACGTTTGCTGCTAGCTTAATTTGGTAATTGCATTGGCACCAATTAACGGCCAGTTTATGTGGAAGTAGTAAATGACTTTGACCAACGTGAGCTCGGCTGAGTAGTAAGGCAGCTCTTCAAGCTAAATAGACGCTACAAAGCCACAAAAAAGGCAAGCGCGAATGGTAGAGTTGTCAAAGTTTCTTTATTCTTCTACTAAATTAATAACCACTACTAAAATACTAACCAACGTATTGTTAGCACGAATTCGCGCTTCATTTCTCATACTCGTATATTTGCTCACACACTTACAGCATTTCCACTCCAATTTTCGTTTTCCATTTTTTAGCTTGCATTCTCGCCTTTTTTCTCGCCCTTCACTTGCATTTTTTTGACGTTGCTCACTTCTGTTTTATTTTTTGTTTTTTCGTACACACAGGAAGTTGCACTCTATGGCGAGTTCACGTTGCGCGAAACACTAATCTACTTCGGCACGATTGCGGCTATGGCCCGCAGCGATATCGATGACCGCACGGAATTTTTGTTGAAATTTTTGAATCTGCCAAATGGTTCGCGGCAGGTGAAAAATCTCAGCGGTGGCCAACAGCGACGCATGAGTTTGGCCGTGGTCCTGTTGCACGAACCGGAATTGCTGATACTTGACGAGCCGACTGTGGGCGTTGATCCAGTCTTGCGGCAAAGGTAATTGAATAGTGTGCACATACATATGCATGCATGCATATTAAATTTACCGTTTTGTTTTTCATTCCGCCTATGTGGCCTAGCATCTGGGATCATCTGGTTGATATAACGAAAACTGGGAATACAACTGTGATAATTACAACACATTACATTGACGAGTGCGCTCAGGCACATGTGGTAAGTTAACTAGAGTTGCCATTTTTTTCAAAATAGCTTACGTTTTTGAGTATATGCCACCAATATGCAAACAAATTTTTAGCTTTATCAATGCGAATGTCTTTTTAGTATACAAGCCAAAGACATGACTTTGACTATTCGTCTTGCGATTGTTCTGTTTTTTAATTAGACTCAACGAATAGCAAGCAAACTGTCATTTGACCCTATAATATATAGCTATATATATGTATAAATGATCAGAATGTCGATTTAACTATATCCGTCTGTCTGTTGTCAGTTCTTAAAATTATAAGGACGTGAATTCTCGCACACGTCATTTTCTCAGCAAGAAGTTGCCCATTTGTCGGAACCGCCGATTTTAGACAACTATAAAATTTAGCTGTTATACAAGCTGAACGATCAGAATAAAGTGCTTGTATGAAAAACTTCTTTATTTGATGAACTATCATCACGAAATTTTATGATTATTATTCAAGACATATCACTATAGCATATATATAGCTACAACATAAACTGGCCAAACAAAATCAAGATAATAATCTTTCTCTATGTTTTATGCTATAAAAAATGCACCAGTAAAGGTTATTAAAGCTTCAGCGCAGCCAAAATTAACGCTTTTTCTTGTTGTTAGAGCAAAAATTGAAACTTCAGAGGAGCGTTGGCAAAAAATTTAATAAACTTGGCAAATAACGGACACCATGATAAACATATGTGCCTTTTTAAAACGCATTTTACATGGAAACATATTTTATGGCGTTACCACCTGGTTTAAAATATAACTGTTATATAGTTGATTATTACTCAAAACGCAATAAAACTCCAATTTTTTTTACTTTCAGTAAAAGTAATTAAAAAAAAATAAACTTGAATTCATATCCGATTACAATTGCAATTTACCCAAAATGCAGCAGCAACAGCAGCAGAGGTAAATTAAAACACATTTGTAACTGTCATCAACGCGATGACACATCAAATTAGAGTCGAATAAATTAACGCCACAAACACAAACTAAAATGTTTTCCCTGTTTCACAGTTGTTTGACGGTAAATACTAAACTAAACGGTTGATACCGAAATTGATAGTTAAATAGATTTGCTGCGTTTCCAACCGCCACGCCACAATTTCCACCAACAGGCTCCCAAAAGCATGCAAGCAACTTTATCTCCACAAAAAAAAAACAACAACAAAATTTGGCGTGGAAGACACAGCTTACCTACGCTTTGCTAATGCTTTGCATGTGCATGTGTGTGTATACAAATGTTCATATATATTTTGGTACCGAAAAACCACCTACGGTACACAAAGAGTTAGTGGCAACTTGCGCGCAGTCATCACTTTTGCCACGTTCAACAAAAAATACATGCACGAAGACAACTGCGAGTGAGTTTGGGACACTCACACATGCATACATAAGCGCGCATAAGATTGTTTCAAGCATAAACATACCGTACGCATGTATGTACTTGTAATTGTATGTTGGTGATAGTGCGCACATAAGTAGGAAAACGGCTGACAACGCTAAGTGCGCGTGGCGCGTAGGAGATTGTTTGCTTTATCGTTTCTTGTACGCTAGCAGCCATAAGCATAACCCCAGTAGCTTTATTTGTTAGTCTGTTTGTACGCGTATATGTGTGTGTGTGTTGAAGTCTCGCGAGACTACTCAGCACAAATACAATCATATTACAGCTCTCTAGCGCACTCGTCGCCTAATCCCGCATTCGTACAAACGTATCTACCGCTCTACTAGGAAATGATACATTGCGTATACGCCGTGTATGCCCATCGGCAATAATGCTGTTTATGCCAACTGTATGCTATATGTCGCTGCCGCTGCAATGCTGCGTATCTGTACATGTATATATATATTTTGCATATTTGCATGTATGTGTGCGCGTGTGCGCTCATGTCTTTACACGTACGTTGAGTATACTTATAGTAGGATACTACTTTTCCTGGCTTTTAGCTTTTGGCGCTTACAATGTGTGCCGAAAACTTTCTATTGATATTAAATTAAGTTGGACGGAAGCCGGAAATTGTAAATAATGTCAATTTCTATGTACTGTTATCCAGTACACACTTCAGGATTAACTTTTATTTATTAACAGATTTACGCGCAGGCCGCAGTGAGTAATGACTTTCTTTTGGTCGGCTCACAACCTGCTGCATTAGTTTCACCTTAGGGTGAAAACGCTGTCATACATATATTATATATACGTATATGTACATATATATATATATAGAAATAAATACAACTCTATGTATATACATATGTATAAATATGTGCTCTCATCTGTTATGCCCAAAAGTCAATACCCACAAATTTATAGTGATTATTGCAGACTATTACATTACATAAACCAACACACATGCATACATGGCGTAAATATTCCAATACTTTATACATGTTTACATTGTTGTGTCTTACTTTTGCGGCACTTATGTTGCGCATCACAAGGACCAGTCAGCCGACGGGAATAGCTCGCCGTTACAGATGTGTCCTTAATTAAGTATTTCTTGGATTTTTGCGAGCGTTGCGTTAAGCTTTGTGTGTATCGAAGTAGTGAACTCCGAAATAAGAAAACGGTTCGGCGCTGTGTTTTATGTTAGTGAGTTGCCTGCTTTCGTTTTACCACGCTATGTCTAGTTTTTCACAAAAAGAATTTCCGAAAAGAAAATGTTTTTAGAAAAACAGCAAAAACAATAATTTTTCTGATAAACGAAAAATCGAAGCTGAGCTTTTTCGACTTAGAAATACTTGGCAAATTTTTCATGGAACAACTGGGTGTGTTTAATTTCAGTGAGCAGACTAAAAGTTCGACTAAATTGCTTACTATTGGTAGTGCTAGCGCATTTAAATTACAAGCTTGATAATAAAGTAGATTGTACTATATTTTACATTTTTCTCGCACATTAATTTAGGAGTAGAATTTATAAAAGAAGTTTGAATTACATCCTTTACAAGGCTATACAGTTATTAATGAGAAATAGCATGATCCATACTCTGTAAAATCATCTTTAAAATAATAAAAAAAAGTAATACTATCGGCTGCCATTTATATTTGTGTCTTAATATATTAAAGATCAACGATAATATAATTTTTAACTTCCCGCTAAGAAAATGGAAAATTTTCTAAAAAATCGGGAAGATATTGGTTTCACCCCATTTTGCAAAAATCGAGTTCTCAACAGATCTCGACGTTCTGAGGGTCGAGGAAGCTTCCCCGAACATTTCTACGATGATGTCCGTATGTCTGTATGTATGTGTGGATGTATGTGTGTGTGTGTGGATGTATGTGACCCTCTTATAACTATTAAACTGCTCAACCGATTTGAATAAACTAAACGGCATTCCAAAGGGTTTCATTGCACTTGAATTTCGTGTAAGTTTGGACCCAATCGGACCAGTAGATTTCGAGAAATCTCAAAAATAACTAATCAGTTCTAAACCTTGAAGAAACACATCGTTTGCCGCAAACCGGATCGAAATCGGTTGATTTACTTGCTAGATATCGAAAACGAAAAATTTCGAAGAGCTCAAAAGCAGTGAAAAAAGCGAAATTTGAACGTTAGCGTATGAAATTAGAGGGAAGTTGCAGGGATGGCCCTTGAGGCCAACCGTTTTCCACATTTTTTTTCTATAATTTTAAGTACTCTTTCAATAATACAAAGCTGAGTAATTTCTTGTATACACTTTTCCTCTAATTTTCGATGAACTTCTTTACTACGCTTACAAAAAAGATTAAAAAACATAAAAGCAACAACTTCGCCTGCACCCAAACTTTGTTACCCTTCACAGGTGTATTTCTTAGAGCATAAAAGCTCATACACTTTTATCTTTATCTTGATTTTGATCGGTTAGTTTGATGTCAGCTATATGCTATAGTGGTCCGACCTGCCAAATTTCGTGAAGATACCTTATCAAATAAAAAAGAGATCAATAGAAAGACTTGATTTTGATCGGTTAGTTTGTATGGCAGCGTTCCGTTCTGAAAAATTTCTTCGTAAATTGCGCCATGGCCTTAGGCAATAGTTCAGGCCAAAATGCTTAAAAATATATTGTCAAATGTAAAAATTTTGCCACCATCACACCTATTATGCTATCAAAACTGTTGATCTCTCATTTATACTTGATGCAAGTGAGAAAGCAGAAGTTATTGACAGCCAAATAAGTACTGTACAGCAGATCCATTGAATGGCTTGGTTGGCTAAAAATCCCATTTACGACAAGAAACTAACTGATCTCAATGCATTCTTTTAGTTTTTGAGTAATTGTTCATACCTCGTCGGTCCCTTATAAATACTAATACTTTTATTTAAAAAATTATTACACTATTCAGAATATAATTAAATGTTATGTTGGTTAGATTACATTAAATACCAAAAAAGTTGGCCTCATTTCCACATCTAAATTTCTCGAAATGTACGATTGTCACGATTGTACGATTGTGTTCTTACTGTGCAAGATATACACCGTAAAATCAAGGAGTATGGGAGAAAGGCAAAGTAATCGCTTAATATCTAATCTAAAGTTTAGGTTAAAGTCAGTGTAGTATTGTTTTCAGATTTTAATAAAATATCTTTTCAATATTTGAAGATATTTCCTGAAGATGTTGCTGTATAGGTGGTAGTGTCTATACTCTCAACATGGATACCCCAGAACCCATTAGATCCATTTATGGAGCATATATTAGTGGTATTTTAGATATCACTATTGAATATACCCATAATTGAGTTTTATGTTCAGGTCATTAAGGTTCACTAACATTTATCGAAGAGTATTAATGTAAAAATGACTCATCGTTTCGCAGTTTTTTGTAAGATGCGTATCTTCTCTGAGTGCCCGAGTGGCACTTCAAGTATCATACACTATTATAAAAAAATTAAGAAGTTCTTCACTCTTTCAATAGCTATGCTACATCACTCGTAAATAACGCGGACTGTAATGAAAATATAAGCATGTATCGTTTTTATATTTAGGTGTAGAAGATATTATAAGATTAATAAAAGGTTTATTGTATTAGAGAGAAATCGTTAATTATTTAAAAAAGAAGTCACTAAACGAGGGATACGAAAAAGTTACTCTAAATTTTAATGTGTTCTGCAGCTGAAATTATGACATGATATCGCCAGAATATAAAGTGGCAAAATTATTGCAAAGAGGTGAAAAATGAGTTCAACTTACTAGTTAAGAGCCTAAAGCCAAGCGTTGGAGAGTAGCGAATCGAATAAACTATGTCACATGCTAATGCAGATGGGCAGCACTTGTGGTACGACACTACGCTAAAATGTCATCTGACGCATGCGCAATAGTTTGTGGTTTTTATTTAGTGGAGAAATTTTTTTTTCGCGTTAAAAACCGGCGCTGTAACACATTATATATGTTTTCCATAAATTAGTATAATTGAATTTAAGTCTTAAGTTTTTCAAATACAGAGGAAAGAAAGAATCATTCAGAACAGTAAAACTGATCTAAATTATGCAAACCCAAAACTTGGTAGCACTGCTATCTTCAATGCGGTATCCGAATACTCTCTGGTACGAAGTCAACACGATAACTTTGCTATTGCTTTTACATATAATTTGTATGACAAGAGAACTAAGAGAGCAAGACAACTAGAATTAGAGGCAAATGAAGATTTGTCTCTACTTACATAAAACCACAAATTGAACTTTACTGCTAAATATTGTTGTGGATTGTAAGATTCACCTTTTTGTCGCTATAAGAGCGACTTGCAATAGCCATTCAAAGAAGATCATGCGATACAACTTAAATGGTTTTTGATGGCTTTGAGACCTCCGCTTGTGTTTGTTATTGTTTAATCACAGCCGAGTTAACCATTTCAGATAGCCATTAATGCTACAACTGAATCGATTAGTAGTCTAGTTCACGCTTTAACACTATTACTATGCTTTTTATTTACTTTTTATCACTTTAAAACCACAGAAACTCGCTGAAGCAGGGTTAAATAAAACTGTTTTGTCTATAACTACAAGCAAATTTCTTTATATCTTGCTCAATCATTTGCACAACCTCACTCACGCACGCTATTAACATCTCCACAGTTAAAGTCTTCTTTCCTCTGAATTTCCGCTTGCCCTATTTACTCATCTTTCTTTTCTATTTGCTCTTCACTCTTTTCGTTTAATTTATTCCTGGGCGTGTCTGCACATGTTCAAACGGTAATCAATTATTGTAGTTAATTTCCGCACGTCGCATTCATCGTATCAACATACAACGATGCGTTTAACTGTTATCTAAGAACATGTAACGGTATTATGCACGAGTTGAAGCTGAGGACATCCAGTGGGGATATTTATAGTGAAAATTTAGTAAAGCATCTAAGCGCACGTACAGAATTTACCCATTTTCAGTTCAATAGTTTGTAATAAGAAAGGCACAAAGCGAAGTAAATATAAAAAAATATCGCAGCTGAAGAGCGATTGAAAAGGCTCGGACACTGAATAAAAGATACAGTGAATCAATTTCAAAAAGTAAGGCCCACGTTTTGAGAAGGCTTTAGCTCCAAGCCAGAAACTCCTTAACGAGAACAGGTTCGAACAACTTAACGAAAAGTTACAGATTCTGTTATTTTCAGCGCGAAAGCTTTATGGATAAACATTATAAGCAATACCTTAAATAAGATAAAAACTACAATATATAAGGTTTCACGCAGCTGGCTGGCCCCCATCTATGCGAACTGTGTTATATTAGGCCATTAGGCCATTACTTGTAGAGTGGTGCTCGTTGTGGCTAGTTTATCTGGCATACAGTTCCTGGCGGTGTTTAAAGCCCTTAAAAACTTTGAAGCGAACCTCATTTGTAATCTTCTTTGCGACAGAACGGTCGTCGCGGAGTGCAGTAGGGCAAAGACATCCCGCAGGGTGGGGTGATTTCTCCACTGCTTTCGATCTTGGTTATTAACAATCTTGAAGAACTCGAGAAACGAGGCTGTGGGTGATAGCCGACGTTGACGACGTTATTCTTATGATTCAAGGAATTTTTTGTAAATATCGTTTATGAGCTAACCGAACCAAGTAAAGGATTTTTTTTACTAGGAGGTATAAAATCCTAGACCTGCCTCTCCCCTCTCAGTCAGACTCAGTCTTCAACCTGTTAATAAGGTGAAATATCTAAGACTTATCTTTGGTAAAAGCTGTGGAAGGTAAAGACTTCACTTTCTTAGAAGCTGTAACGTGTCCAAAGAGCGGATCTCATCGGCATCTCCTGGTACTTAATGTCACATAGCACCAATGAACATTGCCGGCAGGTGCTTTACTGCCAAGTGTGTGAACAAGGACACGCCGTAACTCTTTCCTCTTTCAACTGCATTAGTTAAAACTTGGAACACTGCATCGCCAATGTAATATCTTTCAGGCGGAAGTGGCTACTATTAAGGTGGTGGTAGACGTACCGCTACGAAGTGTAGCTTCTTTCAGGTAGGGAAGCATTCACTCCGACAACAGAGTGGCAATATTAGCGCTGAGCTCGCTAACTCTTCGCTCTAAGTTAGTCAAAGAGTATCTGTTCTCCCTAGAAATAGCGCAAAGCTACTTCAGCCGACGAGCTAGCCGGAGGGTGTCACATTTGCCCCGCGCACATCGGAATGGAATCGAGTTGAACGTCCCTTTGCGTCTTGCGTTATAGTACTGAACCAATTGACCTCGCGTGTGACTGCAAGATCCTTTTGGCCTAGAGTAGGACGCAGGAGATATACTGAACTACTTGAACTTTCTTATAGGACAATGCTCAATAGGCATTCTTGCGGTAAGGTTAAACATTTTTTTGGACACTTGTTGTCAAAGTTATTTGGGGGAAGGTGAGGTAGAAACATGCAGGCATTCCTCCAGTGTCAAGCCTTTGCAAGACAGATGTTGAAACATCTCTGCAGTATTACCTTCGATTAACCCGGATACACAGTCGAAATTGACATTCGCTGTCAATTGTGCTTGGTTCAAAGCGCTTTGTCAATTTTTATCTGATATATAAGTGTTTTAGATACCACAACGGACCGGCATTCTAAGCGGTCCAAATAAAATCGCTGTTAAGATCGACCTCTTAACCTAACCTAAATTTCGGCGAAAGGCTAAGCTTAACTGGGATTGTAGGGATCTTATGAACGAACATTCCGACTTTTATGCGATCTCACCTATGATCCAAAGCGTAGTCACTTTCCGAATTGCGGCTGTTTATGAATTCATTAAGCCCAATAATCAAAGACATACACTGTACCATTCTGCCTTCTAAGAACTAGGCTGCATCTGCTCCGTTTACCTAAAAGTTAAGTGGCTTAGAGTGCAGCATTTGCGAGCTTGCTAGCCGCCGAGTTTTGCTAACTTCAGAATCAACTTTTCTCCTCCATTTCTATTTAGTCAGAATAGTAAAAACGGAGAGGAGCCACTTCAGACTGGAGATACATATCGAAAAACATACACCTTCCCGCATACAATTCATGTTTAACTGACTGACCAAAATTGATAGTCGAGTTGAAGTTGTGCACAATAATTGACTGCGGCAGAGGTCAAACCGAACGGCACAATGCGGTTTATCACAAAGTTTACTCGGCCGCAAGTGGCTTGCTGGCCAAAGCATACACAAAGTTGCATAAAAAACTTCGACGAAGCACACAAATATTTTAACACGTGCATGTGTGCGTACAAATTTAATTTCACATACTAATTTAGTTTATTACTAACAAACTGAATATACTAACAAGTATGGATATTTACGCAAGCGGCAAGTAAATAGCCACAAAACGGGCCAACTAAACTTTTTATCTCCAACTTTTCGATTTTTTTTTTGTATTTGTTATTGTTGTATATTTTGTCATTATTAGATCGGTCTTTTGCGTGGCGGTCGCATGCTTGCAGAGGAGGCGCCCAACTTTTTGCGCCAACAATATAATGCCAGCTCACTGGAGGAAGTCTTTCTGAAGTTGTCTGTTCTACAGAATATGGGACGTCGTCGTCGTTCGTCGATTGCACAGGAAATCGTCGAGCAAGTGCAAGTGCCAGCCATTTCGAATCCGGCCTTGGATATGTCCGATGAGCATAACACCGCCGATATTTCAGGTGAATTCGGTGATAACATCTCGATGAATTCGGCAATTCGTGATCCGATTACAGCAGCTGAGATGCCCGCTTCACCACTGCCGATCGATAAGGAGCCGCCAGCAACATTAATGCAACACTTGGATGTGATAAGTTCGCATCACATGCGCGCCTTGGTATGGAAGAACTATTTGTGGATGTTGCGTAATGTGGGGTGAGTTGTAGAAGGAATTTATGGATTGTGATAGGGAAAATTCCAGTAAGCAAGGTATTGTCAAAAAAGCTTTTCCTTGAATCTTCGCGGTAAACAATGTTTGGAGATAATGTCTAAGCTCTGGATATAAATCTTTCAAAAGTAATCAATAATGCATGGGTACTTAAATCCAGTAAGATCTCGAGGACACTTCAAGTCAAGTGTGAGGACCAAGTAGAAGTCGTAGTAACAAAATCTGTAGTTCCTTTAATCCCTTAAGGTGCATTGTTGTTCTGAAAATAATTATAAATGCGGTATTTTTTGTGGAGTTCTTCTAAATTAGTATGACTATGGATGCTGTAGCATCTGATATGGACATCCGACGACCTACATTTCTTGAATAAATATTTATTTTTCTCTGGTCACCAATATTCGAAAGTGTTTGGAAATACCGCCCGTTTAGCTGAAGGAAAACAAGAACGGCTGGACCGCGATCCTTTCGAAATGAAATAATACTGCGATATCAGGCGTTTCTGAAACCAGTACATTAATTAATTCGCTTTATTTTCCTCCCACAGCATAATGATGTTCATAGTCGCCTTGCCGGTTGTACAAATCATACTCTTCTGTTATGCCATTGGTCACGATCCAACTGGTCTCAAGTTGGCTGTGGCGAATGGAGAGCTCTCCGAACAAATGGTAATCGATCAATTTTGTCCAGTTTTTCCGGGTTGCAATCAAACATATTTGAGTTGCCGCTATCTGGATATGTTGAAGACGAATAAGAGTATGCATGTGGTGAGTTTCTGAGTACATATTCCATTTCATTGACTAAGTTAAGACTTTTTTTTTTGCTTTTTTACAGAAATTTTTCCAAACCGAGGAAGAAGCCAATACTGAGGTACGACGCGGCAATGCATGGGGTTCATTGGTATTCGATAAGAACTATACGAACGCATTGAATGAACGTGTTGAAAGCGGACGCTATGCTGATAATGCTACCATAGATGCTTCGGATGTTAATGTGCGCCTAGATATGTCAAGTGAGTGATAGATTAAGTGGCTTAATAATCAAGATTGCCTAACTTTTCATTGTCTCTTCACTCTCATTACAGATCAACAAATCTCCACACTACTTTACCGCGATCTACAGTACACCTTCTTCGATTTCGTCGAACTTATACTGCACGATTGTGAACTTAATCCGAAAATTGGCCGTATACCCGTCGACTGGGAAAAACCGATCTATGGCACGCGCAATCCAAATTTCACTGATTTCGCTGCACCCGGCGTCATATTAACCATCATATTCTTCCTCTCTGTGGCGATCACATCGGGTGCCATGCTGATCGAACGTAACGAGGGCATGTTGGAACGCTGCTTGGTGGCTGGCATTACTGGACCCGAAATACTCTTCTCACAAGTGCTCTCACAATTCACTGTCGTCATAGTACAAATGACTTTTGTGCTTATTGTCGGCTTCGGTTTCTTCGATCTCACCAACGAGGGTAGCATGTGGCTAGTGATTGCGCTTTGCCTGCTCAACGGCTTATGTGGCATGTGTTTCGGTTTCGTTATCGCTTGTGCTGTGGACACGGAGCGTACGGCTACTTACGTGGCATTGGGCTCTTTCTTGCCAATCGTTATGTTGTGCGGTATCATTTGGCCTATCGAGGGCATGTATCCAGCATTGCAGTTCATAACCCTGTTCTTGCCGTTAACCAAACCAACAGAGTGTCTACGTTCGATATTGCAACGTGGTTGGGGTTTCTCCGAACCATCAGTGCATAATGGTTTCATCTCGATATCCCTCTGGGTTTTGGTCTTTTTGGTGTTGAGCATATTATTCCTCAAATTTAAGAAGGGCTAAAGAGAGAACAAGTATGTTGAATGAGTGCAAAAGAGTGAGAGATAGCGAGCGAGAGGGTGAGTGAGAGAGAGAGCGAGAGAGAGTGCGGTGGCACGTGTGTTTGAGGGTATGCGTGTGCGTTGAAAGAGAGTGTGTAAGCGCACGTGGTAGAGTATTGCGTTATTTTTCGGTTACAGGGTGGTAAAGAGGTGATCAATTTATTTAAGTAAGCCAACTAAAATTGTTTGGTTTCTTAGGTACAAGTTAGGTACTTGTGTCTAAAGTACACTTAGTAATTTTATAACAGTTATTTTAGTTATTTTTTCTCAATTTGAATTTTTTTTATTTTTTAATCTTTTGTTTGTTAATTTTTTTATTTTTTTTTTATTTTGTCAGCATTTTTAATTTAATTTCCTCTACTGGTACTTCGTTTTTTATGTATTGTAGTTGTAAGGCTAACGGATTTTATTGTTCTAAATATATATAAAAAATAAAAATTATGTACATTTGGGTTAAGTCAAATAAGTAAAAAAAAATTAAAAAAGAACAGGCAACAAAAAATGCGAGAAAAACATTAATTGAATGTTTGTATGTCAATTTGCTTGTACATCACTTGTATACATGCAACAATATTGGTATTTCTTTGTATGTATTTATGTCAACATATGTTTTGTAGCCGTAATTTATGCAATAAAAATTATACACATAATATTGATAACGGTTTATTTATTGTTGTACGCAACGCTGCTGTCACAATGCCGGGCACATTGCACGGACGTGGCAGTGGCAAGTTGCCTTTAATTATACAAATTATGCTGATTTAATGGACGAGAACAGGTTTGTTTATTGAAGCTGATCTATAAAAATAATAAAATCTCTTTATGCGTAATTTTCTATAGAATTTTTTTTTTGTTTATGTATATAAAAAATTTCACATGATTTAATTGACTTTTTTTTTGTTGAAGAGGAAGCATTTACACTAGACAATTTACAATTATTTGCTCATAATACTAATTGCTGATATAAATTATTGATATTTAATTGCTCTATCTTATAGTTTGATTTAATATTTGCCGAAGCGATTCATGGCAATATGACTTTAAAGAAGCAAAAAAAATGCAACCCTGTACTATCGAGTAGAAAATGTTCTGGTTTTTTTTTTTTTTATTGACAAGCAACGATTTTGCAATCATCAAGCAAGAAATATTTTCTAGCGAAACTGAAATTATTTATTTTTTTAGAATACAGCTCGTTCAACATGAAAGCAATTGATTTTTTCGCATGAAAAATAATTTGAAAATGGAGTAGGCCTTGATTTTCAAAACACTTGATTTCATTGCCAATTGCGCAATGTATATAATTGCAGAAACAGTCAATTATACGCTTTAGTCGCAATGGCAAACTTAAGAAATGAGTTCCGTATACAAAAAGTCCGAAAATGACTCACTTGAGTGCTGCAAAGTGCTTAAAAAAGTCGAAGGCGTTTGTCCAACACTAGAATAAAAAAATTTTTGGTACACAAAAATGCGGGCGACTTGCTGAACCGCATATTACATGAGAGCTTCTTTTCTAGTAATACCAACTTTCACAATATACTAAGAACTTTCCTAAAATGGATGCCTACTTTCTCCATACTTTGTTTTAATCTCACTTTCAATAGTGGATCAAGTAGTTATCTAGGAATGGGTAGCTACGTTTGAATCTGGTATTTCAACAAAATACATACATATACATATATAGCTCGGTGTCATATCTCTAATTCAAGCAGAATCTGGCACAAAGAATGCCACGGCCCCAATTACTGCAAAAAGTGATCAAAAATTGGGCTCCTCGCCTGCAATTTATTCGAGCCAGCAGCGGCAATCACTTACACGAATTTATTTTTAAAACATAATAAAACATAAACCCTTATATTTATAATGAAGCTAAATTCTAGCCTATAATATTAAATTATTTGCGTTTTATTTCTTCTTGAAAACTAGATGTTTAAAAAAACATACCCTTCGTTTGATAAACTCAACGCAAAAACTTCGGCTTTTAAATTTTAATCTGCAAACCCTTTTGTACTGGAAAGCCATTCCAACTTCCAAGAAGAATTAAAACCTTAAATAGCGGCTACACCTTCATGCCTCGAAGTACATAAATATTCCAAAAATCATTTTGACTTCCAAGAGTACGTGGCAAAAGCTCAACACCAAATCAAACTCGCGTTTGCCATCATTAACATTAAGCTGGTGTATGCGTATATCTGAGCGTTTCTAACCTCAAACAAATCAAAATCCTCTCAAAAACAACCAAATAGTTAGTTTGGTTATCAACTTTTAGAAATTCAGTTTCCCATTTGCATACGATAATTGTGATTTCGACACACTTGTGATCAACGAGTGACGAGTTAACTACTCACACTAGGGAACTATATATAAACAAAATTAACTGTAAATATGTATGTATGTGAACATGTGATTATTTAAAGTGAACATGTTAAAAACAACCAACACAACAGTTCAGCTGTCAGTGCGGTTCCAACTGATTTGCCAGATTTGTCAGATTTGAAAATTCTCAGACACATTTCCAATTGAAGTTGTACCACCTTTTGACTTTGACCAATATTGGTTAACAAAGTTAGATGCTGTGGCAATGTAAGAAATTCAAAAAGTTAAAAATAAGTTTATTACTGCCAAGTGCAGCATTTCCGATTTACTTCAACTGCAAAACAAAAAAAAAATGCTCAAAAGTTGACAGCCCAAAGCCACTTAGTCCAGTTCACTTACATCCAACTCATTGTGGGAATATGACAAAACTGCTGCTAAAATTCGTTATGTGCAAATGGGTGTCAATAAATATATGCATAATACTTAACGACCCAGGAGGATATTCGCGACATTGTAGACATAGAGATCTTCATTTTTGTTGTTTGGTTATGCATGGTTGTGGCTAAGCCTTTTTTTGCTTTTCTGTGCGTAATTTCTAAAAAGAAAAAACGTGGAGCAGATCATGTATCGCATTTGCTCGCTATCTCAGTATCAACAACGCAGAATCAATGAGATGTAATTAAATGAGGCAGAAAATGGAGTGATCTTCTCTTCGCCACCTTTATTCTCACAATGTAGAGTTTTGCTCTCTTAAGAGCAAAATATTATGATACCTCATTGGCGTGCTATAAACGCTTGTTTTTATTCGTGTCGTTTTTAGTTGCTGGTTTAATTTCTCAATTTTTCAATTCAAATAACTCTACGAAGAGAGTACTAAAATGCCCTTAGTTAAGTAAGAGCTCTAAAGGGCTATAAAGGATAAAGCAATCAATCTTAAATCGTCAGTTTTTGTGAGGCCTCAGACTTGTGAATTGGAGCAAACCTATTTTGTACTTTAATGTACTTTGTATCATTCAATATACAAATATCTTAGTCACATACTTTTCTAAGAGCTTTGCCCTTCGTCTATTAACACGTATAATACATATCGAGTACGATCCTTTTAATATTTCTTTTTTAAATAGTTATCGTGCAGCGTTGTTATCAGATCGTACTCGAATATCAACTTTACATGTACACTAACGATATATAATATGTATTTCAAAGTCAGGCGTTACACTCATGACATTCCTCAATGTCATGTGGGAGACCGGATGAAGTGACAATGCTTGGCCAAAAATAAATTTTAATCGGCCCGCATTAGTGCAAAGACTACTAAACATGTACATGTTGTTTCGAATAATCAACACAAAAATACGTACACATTTACCGGGTACCCATGTTTCAATATCCAGTGTTGCATTGTGTGTGGTGTGTTTGAGTTCTTCGGGGCGGAATCTTAACTCATTTGGCCACCTTTTGTTTGCTGTTTTTCCCAATTTCCCTCTGATATAAAGGGCCATATTGCTTATCGCGGCTCATAAAATTTATAAAACTCGATTGGTTGGTGAGTTGGTGTCGTTGTTCTGAAAATTTTCGAACACTCAACTCATAAGTACTAGATGGGGTTGAATTTATTCTTGAATATATCCTGTTTAGAGCAAAATATGGTAGGACCTTACGGAAAGGATTCATTATTAGAAAACTTCGCCCACATTAGATTAGGTGTGTCCTTGGTGTCGCCTATATCGAACCATAGATAAGAACATTGTTTTTTAGCGACGACATTCACATACTCGGGATTTACTGAGTATTAAAGTATGCACATTTTGAGTTAGTCACTTAACTCACTCAAATGATTTCGACTTTGCAACACTTGTCTTACAAGTATGTTGCTGCAAGAAAATGCTCTCGGGTAAGCTTTATACATTGAACTTTTCGGAAGCCTTTCTAAATTGAAGATTTGTAGCTGTAACTGGCTCTAGTTGCAATTGGTTGACTACTTCGAGAGCTGTGAAATTTGTAGACTACTATTTGTAAGGATTTTGAAATCAGCGAAAGTTAAAGGTTAGCAAAACGACCGAAGTCTTTATAATGCATATATTCCAAACAAGCACTGGAACTATGCGGATTACATGAGAAAGAGTCCCAGAAACCGCTCTGAGTTAATGCATATAGAGAACGACCAATCCTCTCTTGGCACTCTCTAAAGCACAGTTATGTTGCTATAGATTTCACTGTATTGATATATCGCATTCAAATTATCTGTTGCAATCACAAACCTTTAAATAGAAAGTGCGACGAACCCTCTGATGCCGCTACGAATAGAAAATTGAGAGAAGTCTGCCTACAGCTAAAACCTGACTCAAGTTGCCAATTCACTGCCGGATAATATTGTCACTTCATTACCTGTCAACATTTATCCCAAATATTAAGACTTACATGTATATCTCCCCTCTTCAACTATGCATTGTGAAGTGGCTTTTATATGGCAGATTATTGGAAAATGTGTGCTCACTATCGAAATTATTATTGTTTCCTTAATTATTTATTATTAAGAACTTCCAATCGGGTGCAATTTGTCCACATGTATACACAAGTACATACAAAGGCATGTGTTTATACTGTCGCAGCGCGTAGTGCGATGCAAAGTGGACATGTGAAAATTACTTAACACCCATACTCATATACAGTACATAGAAACGTACAAAGCTACATATACGCGTATGCATGAGAAGAATAATGGATGTGTGAATAAATTTTTGGCATGTTCACAACCACAGGCGACTGTCAACGTCAATATGCAAATTTCGTACAAACTGTCATCTACTCGATGACAGCAATGTTGCAACCAATTTAATGTCATGTTTTACTATGTCGATGTGTATATTTATTGGGCTATGCAGGTGTCTGTGACGACTCAGGCATTGATTTGTATGTATTTATGTGCCAAGTAAGTCACTCGGTATCGCTTTGTCTAGGAGGAGTGCTTTATGCTAGCAATAATAATATACATATTAAGGTGGTTCTTAAAATTGTGTGCGGGGCACTTGTTCAGTATCTTCCTCTTAAGCAGCAATACTAGGATTAAAAGCCTCACAATTAAAGTGCGGTATTTATTAGATAGGTTTATGTTTGGTCGCAATGAGCTTAACGTTCGGACTACCCGAACCGTCGCAATCAGATTCAATTATTCAGATTCTTTTTCATCTTTCATTTATAAAAATTGCTAAGACCTAATAATTATTATGAAAGTGTATCAACTTAATCAGGATTAAAGAAGATTACTGTAGAAAATAAATTTCTCCAAGGCGGTTGCCATCTGTTTAAAATTTTTAAATTCTTAATTTAGTAAAATTGAT